AGATACAAATGATTGGATCAGGGCTGAGGTACTAAGGAGCTCAGTGGCAGAAGATGGACTTAACATGTATTCCTGAGTTCCATCCCCAGTACAAATAAATTAAGAGAGAGAGAGAGAGAGAGACAGAGACAGAAAGAGAAAGAGGAAGAGGAAGAGAAAGAGAAAGAGAGAAAGGGGATACCTCTTCTGGGTCATCATGAAAGTGATAGAGAAATACAGACCAATCCCGGCGGGGTTTAGAACAGAGCTGGCACCCCAGAACCAGACCCCAGACCCAGGTGTGCCCCTCCCCATGGCCTCCATGCTCTCCATTTGCAGCAGGGCCCCAGGCTGGGCTGAAACAGCAGACAGGGAGATGAGGATGGGGGGGGGTGTCAGAGGGCGCCCCTCCTCCATCCTTCAGGGAGACATTACAATTCTGCCTCACTGCTGTGTTTGGGCTGGATGGGTGAGGGGTCAGGGGAGGAGGGGAGGGATTTCCCTCGTATTAGGCCACCCGAGGCGCATCTAGACATGCCAGACGGATGAGACCACGTGAGTGGGCTGTGATCAGACCTGCAAGCCTGGACCTCGGGGTCCACCAGGGCCAGGGAACGGATTTCCCACCGACACCCGGGGGCCGCTGTACCCTGCTTTCCCACAGTCAGAACCCCTGCTGCCGCCCTGCTGGGCCGCTCAGGTGCTTATCCGGTCTCCTCCCCCAGCTCTGCCCACCAGGCACCCTGAGGCCACTCTGCTGACCTAAGTAAGTCTGAGTTCCTTCTGCAACTGCTGAGACAACCTTCTTGAAGGTTCGCTATGGATCCCTATAGACACAGGTATATAGGTATATACAGGAGGTGGAAACAATCAGAGAGGATCCCCACTCCTGACCTCACCCCCCACAGGGCTGAGACCCCAAGCAACAGCCCTTCACTTTTCTCTCTTGGCTGATTAATGTAGCTGGGTGGGGGGTCCCCTAAATAAGGATCCAAAACCCATGAGAGGAGAAGATGGGTTCAAGACCTGGACAGGTGGATTGTGCCTTCACCTTCCATGCCAGAGGAAGGCACATTCCTGACCCAGAACTGGCAGAGATCTGAGGTGGGGAGGCAGGGAGGAAGGGGAGAGAGGGCGGCCCAGTACCAAGTTATTAGGAAGCAACACAGAAATAACAAACACCCCAGGCACCGCGTCAGAGGCAGCCCTCGGGAACAGAATCTGTAGGAAAAGCTTCCTTGATGTACTGCATGTATGTATGCTCTGAGCAAAGGGCAGTGATTCCTGCCTGTAGTCCCGGCTACTCCGGTGACAGAAACAGGAGGATCGCTTGCAGGAAGGAGTCAATCAGGGCAACCCTGAACAATATACCAACACCCAGTCTCAAAAACAACAACAGAAGAAGAGGAGGAGGAGGAGGAGGAGGAGGAGGATCCAAACCACTGAAGCCAGGCTTCATACCTGTAATCCTAGGTAGTTAGGAGGCTGAGATCTAAGGATCTTAGTATTCTAAGCCATCCTGGGACAAGAGAGCCTGTGAGGCTAGCTCCAACTAACCCGAAGTGGTGGTGTAATTCAAGTGGTAGAGCCCTTGGCTTAAAGTCAAGCAAGTGCACAAGGCCTTGTGTTCAAGCCCCAGTACCAGCACCAAAAAAAAGGGAAGAGGCAGGGAAAGGAAAGGAAAGGTAGGTAGGGATGGGACTCTGGCACCTCCTTCACCCAGTGGTTAAAGCAAAGAGGCTCAGAGGAGGCATACCCCAAGTCTGCTGTGTAAACCAGAGGCCCTGAGCACCACTGTAGCTTGATGCAGCTTCCCACCATCCCCTGCTTCCCACACACCTCTTACCCTACGCACCCCATAACCCATCCTTGGTCTCAGGGCCCCAGCCCTGTCAGTGGCCTCCTGACCCTTTCCTGCTCACCCTCTTGGTCCCTCTGACTCCTGTGGTTTTCCCATGGCTGTCCACCCTCCAGCCACTTCTCTGGACAAGCAACCTGCACCCCAGCCCTAGTCCAGGGTCTTGGCCCAGGGCTGGCGGGGCCCCTGACTTCTCCTTTCATCTCAAGAGCTTCTGGGACCAAAGGCATCTGACCAGCCTGGCAGGGGAACAGCCAATAGACAAGGCCACCAGGCTGGGTCTCCCGTAGAGGAGACTGGACAGGGAGAGAGAAGGCAATTCAGAAGAAGCTGAAATGGCCAGACCAAGACTCACCCTTTCTTCACACTCAGGTGTCCCCACCACCAAGCACACCCAACCCTCTCCCTGACCCTCCACCCCCAAAGTTCATTCTCTCCCCCAGAAAAGGACTCAAGAAATTTGCCTAGGGGCAGGGAAGGACTTGGGAAAGCAAGCCATCCACAGGATCGGCCTAAAGTAAAGAAAGTATTGCTGAAGGCTCAGGAAGCAGCGGTGAATTCAGACAGGGGTGAAAGATTTCACAATCACACTAGGCAAAGGGAAATCAAGAGGTCAGCTTAAAGACTTCACTCTAAGAACAGGCCCTGAGGCTGGTGGTTCATGCCTGTAATCACAGCTACTCAAGAAGCTGAGATCTGAGAATGGAGAGTAGGAAGTCAGCCCCAGGCAGGTAAGTCCTTGAGACTCTAATCTCTCATTAACCAGCAATAAATAAACAATAGGGAAGTAGAGCTGTGGCTCTGGTGGTAGAGACGCTAGCCTTCAGTGAAAAAGCCTGGGGAGAATGTAAGGCAGAGAGTTCAAGCCCCAGAAAAGGCATTAAAAAAAAAACCAGGACAAAAGGAAGAGGAACTATTTTCTGAAGCCTAAAGAAGGTCTGGGATTGTTTGCTCTGTGATATTAGAAAGGAAGAATCCGTGAGGGCTGGGGAGGTGGCTCAGTGGTAGAGTGCTTGCTTAGCATATATGAAGCCCTGGGTTCGATTCCTCAGTACCACACACACAGAAAAAGCCAGGAGTGGTGCTGTGGCTCAAGTGGTAGAGTGCTGGCCTTGAGCACAGAGGGGTTCAGAGACAAAGCCTAGGCCTTGAGTTCAAGCACCACCCCTGGGGGGCTGGGAAGTAGAATCTGTGAGTAGGGTGCTGGTAGCTCACACCTCTGATCCCAGCTACTCAGGAGGCTGACATCTGAGGATCGAAGTTCAAAGCCAGCCTAAGCAGTAGAGTCCCTAAGACTTATCTACCAGAAAACTGGTCGAAAGTGGTTGGAAGTCCTAAAGGGCTTTAAGTCCTTGAGCACAAAAGCTCCCGGACAGCACCAGAGGCCAGGAGTTTAAGCCCCAGGACAGACAGCTTTAAACCTGTTAAAGCCCCACCCAAGTTCTGCAGAGTCTGCCTGGAGGCCAGGGCGGAAGGACAGACAGGCATTTAAGTTCCTGCTACCCCCTCCCCTCACACTAAGGAGCCTCCACAGCTCTAACCATCTTTCCCCGCTCTGTGATTGGCTCCTGGCATCTCTGGGAGACTCAAAGGTTTCACCTTTGCTAGTCAAATACACCAGGGCCCACTCTCAGACCTCCCATGATTACGATACAAAGCTTGGGAGGCACAAGCACAGGAATCCTAGTAAAGGAACACAGTCTCCAAGACCTGGATCGGATCCTGGTACTACTCTCGGGCAGCTGTGCGATGTTGGCCAAGTTACTTAACCTCTCTGAACCTGTATCTACGAGAAAAGTCAGTTTGGAAATGCTGCAGAGCATGAGAAGTACTCAAGCTGGGTGCTAGTGGCTCACGCCAGTCATCCTAGCTACTCAGGAGGCTGAGATCTGAGGATGGAGGTTCGAAGCCAACCTGGGCAGGAAAGCCTGTGAGACTCTTTATCTCTCATGAACCACCAGAAAACTGGAAGTGGAGCTGTGGCTCCAAGCGGTAGAGCAGCAGGAACAGTAAATGACAAGGTCAAGGCCCTGTGATTGAAAGAAAAAGTTCTCGCACCACAGGTCTAGCAAGGTTAAGAAAAGACAAGCCTGGGGTGCTGGCAGAGCCCTCTGCCTTCTTCAAGGCTGTAGGGATCCTGGAATTTCCAGTCCCCTGGGTGGCTTGGTGAGGGATTCCTGGGGGAAAGATGCAGCTTCAGATTCAGCCTGGGGGTTGGGGGGGGGCAGGGGGGTGTCCTACCTGTAGGAGACCCAGACTTGAAAGAACAATCTCTAGGCCCCAAAGCCTCTTTCCATCAAGAAGCAAGTTCCCAGGAAGAAAATGGAGCCAGCACATACGGATCCCGGCTATCACCGCTACCTGAGCTACACAGGGGCACGCTGAGGACAGTTTTCTCTGCTGTCTCCAGACAGCTTGAACTTCAGACCCAGATGCTTTTTCGTCTGTTTTTTTTAAGTCCATTTTGGGGCTTGAACTCAGGGCCTGGCCGCTGTCCCTGGGCTGTTTTCTCAAGGCTTACAGCACTCTACCCCTGGCAAACCACAGCTCCAACTTCCAGTTTTCTGGTGGTTGATGGGAGGGAGGTCTGAGCCTCGAGCTTTCCTGCCCTGGGGTGGGCTGGCTTAGAACACCTGGATCCTCAGAAGATCCCAGCCTCCTCCTAAGTAGCTAGGATGACCAGGCGTGAGCCACCGGGCTACCTTCCCCCCCATTTTCCCCCTGGTCCTGAAAACATCATGTCCTGCGGTTTCTGGCACTGTTTCTGTTTCCAGCAACTGAGGCAGGGACTCGAGGTGGGGGTGGGGAGGGACAGGGGGCCTGGGAACCTTCTTTAACTTGGAGGCTGCCCAGCTACCCCTGTAGGCCAGACCCCAACCTCCCTTACCCTCCTTCTGCCTTAGACGTGGTGCCAACTGGAGACTCCCCCCTCCCCTCTCTCCTCTTGGCCTCTGGGGAGGAGGGGAGGGGTACCCAGCCCCTGGAGATCACCTCCCCCCCACACTCCCATGCCTGATTGCCACCCACAGCCTGGCCTCCCCCCAACCTCATCCCAGCACTTCGGTGGGCGGAAAGCGATCGGATGGATGATGACGCCCAGTGGGCGAAGGGACACGGACGGACAGACAGACAGACGCGCGCCCCATCCGGGCCCGGCTCTCACCTGCTGAAGACCAGGCAGCCCAGGTGGTTGATCTCGTGGTCGGAACGGTGGCGGCTGTAATCCTCCCACAGGTCCTTGATGGCCGTGACCGCCAGGATGAAGAGGACGGGCGCCAGGGCCAGGCCGGGCTGGAAGGCGTTCACCGCCGGCACGAAGTTGAGCAGCGCGATGAAGACGAAGTAGACGTTGGCCAGGCGGTGGAACTGCTCGAAGAGGTTCTTGGGCAGGAAGGACAGCAGCGTGTACTTGGTGGTGTTGAGCCGATTGTCGGCCAGGTGCTGCGCGCAGGCGCGCCGGGGCC